AAGCATTATAAGAATCATCATTAAGTTTTTCAATTTCTTCTATTATTTGATTAATCTTTGCTTCTTCATGATCTGCTAAATTTTGTTGGATTTGTGTTGCATTATCTATATTTTCATCAGTTGAAGAAGGCAGAATTTCGGTCTTTTTCTAACAGTTGTGAATAGTTTTTTCAGTTACTTGCTTTCATGCATCTACTAAGTAATCAATTGCTTCTTTAATATTGATTTTCTCTTTACTAATATCTTTTTCATCATCAAATAGGTTTAACATATGATGACAAAAATGCCTCTTATAATGGTTTTTAAAGCTTGCAATGATCTTGGCGTCAAGTGGCTGAAGATGGCTTATAGTATTAGGAGGTAAAAAGGCTACCTCAATATGAGTTAATTGAAGCTGAGGGATATTAAGTCTATCCTTTGATTTACCACCACGACCTCTACCACGACCTCTAGATTCACGGTTATTTGATTCATTACCATGGCCTCTACCACAACTTCTAGATTCACGGTTACTTAGTTCATCACCACGGTCTCTACTATGACCTCTAGATTCATGATTGCTTGGTTCATCATCACGGCTTCTTGAAGCTTGATTTATATTAAAAAAAAAATAAAATCTGGTAAGATATTTTTATTAAATATTTGACGATTATATTATATTTATCATGTAAATAAATTTTTCTATTTTCTATTTTTTAAATTTTTTTTTTATTATTTAATTTTTCTATTATGATTATTATTATTATTATTATTATTTTTTTTATTTTTTTTATTGTTTTTTTTAATATGTAATATACATTAATAAATAAATATATATGTAATATAAATTAAATAAATTAATAAACTAAATAGCTTTATAAAAGTAAAATTAACTTTCCATTAATCTGATAATAAACTTTATATCGAAAGTCTAATTAATAAATAATAGACTTAACCGATGACCCATTTCCTTTATAAAAACTTACTAGAGGTTGATGTAAATTCAGTCTCTTCATTAGCGCTATCTTCATCTTGCTCATTTGGTAAATCATTTGGATCAAAATGCGATGGAGCATTATCAATCAGAAGCAAAATTTTTTTATTTTTTGCTCTAAAGTAACTATCTAATTCACAGAGTATTTCTCTAAAAATCGTTAAGTTCATCCATGCTTTTGAATTTTTACGGTAATAAACTGAAAGTCTTTCTATATTAATTTTCGAAAGAGGTCTTAGACATTTTGCGTTACCAATTACCCATGGTTTGAGTTTATCAGTTTCTATTGCATTTGTACCAAGAAGAACTGTGATTCGTGTTTTATCTTTTTTTCACTACGAATGGGCTTGGTTGAAAGTGTTTGATTTGAAGACATCTGATAGTAAAGACCTGTTTCATCAATATTGTAAATTTTATCAAGAGTATACTGGCTTAGAAGTTGACGAAGCTTAATTCTTTCTTTCAGAAAAGATGTTATTGATGCACTTTCTAATTCTCCATGTATTCGATACTGACGGATGTTATTACATTTTTTGAAACTATCTAACCAACCATTAGAGAGTACTAACTTATCTTCTTGTATGTTGAATGCATTGGCAAAAAATCTTGCTTTTTCTTTCATTAATGAATCTGTTAAGATAATACCACCTGCTGTTACACTTTCTATTCACAAACTCATAGTCCTGTCAAGTTTTGGAAACTTGACTCTTTTATTTTTATAAATTTTCTTAGAACCTTCAATTTCTAACACAGAACTCCACCTTTCACTTTGTGCCAATATCTTTGTTACAGTACTACGATGGATTTTTAAAGTTAGGTCTTTTTCGTTAAAATAGCTGGCAATTTCTTCATGTTTTTTATTTTATTTTTATTATTTTTTGACTATTCACAAATTTGATGCTATCACCGGGTTCATTTTTGTTTATCTTAACGTCTAAGTTGAAAGGTTGCGGCAGCTGATTCTATACATTAGAGTTTCTGACTTTAGGATTTTCTTTAAGTCCTACAGGTATCTGTTATATTTGAATCAACTTGGCAATTTATCACGTCTTAGAATTTAAGATATGTTAGTCGAACTCGTAATGACGAACTCAATAGCAAGTTAGTGTAGTGTATCATAACAATCCTAGATGAAGAATAACGTTGAAGGAAAAAGTAATTTGTGTGGATTTAAATTGATTCCTTTATTTATAACTTGAAACTCGTATGAAGAGTTAATAAACTTACAACTGAGTTAATTTACAACTTAAGCAAAAAGCTATTCTATTTATACAAAATTAATTTGCTTAGGCTAACTATTTGCTACGCTATAAATTAACTAAATATAGATATATGTTCCAATAAAATAAATAATAAAAATAATAAAAATAATATAAACTATAAAAATAATAAAAAGAAATAAAATAAATTATAGACGTTAAAGAAATTATAGATGAAACAGAACAAACAGGATAAACAGACTGTATAGGAAATACAGAAGAAACAAGCGAATCAGGTAAATTTTGCAAATCCTTCAAATTAATGCAATACGTCAATCAAGATCTTCCTTAATATGATCTACATAAAATTAAATCTAATGACTTTATAAATCATTTTTCTAGGGCAAACTTTCAACGCTGACAATATATATCTTGCTATCTATTGATCTCAAAAATATGAAAATATAATCATTTAATAGGTCTTTATTATATAAATCCAAAAATTAATATATATTAATAATTATTAATTTTAAAAATTTAAAAATACTATCATTAGATATATTTTAATATGACAAATTTAATAAACTTTATTTTATCTTTTTATAATTACTAGATATTAAAATATTATAATTATTCTACTGTACCTATGCTTTAAGGTATAATATACTTTTTTTATAATAATATTTTTATTTGTTATATGTATTTTTTATATTATTTATTACATTTATAATAATAAATATTTATTTGTCACTTGTTACTTATTATTAAAATAATATTAAAATTAAAATTATCTTATAAATAAATTAATAAATAAATTTTAAATAAATAATAATTAAAAAATATTATATTATATTTTTATAATCAAAATAATTTTAAATAAATAATTTTTTTAAAAATTACTTAATATTTTTTTAAAAATAAATTTTATTTAATTTTTAATTTTTAATTAAATTTAAATTTATAATTATTTTATAATTATTTTTTTTAAAAAAAAGTTTAAAAGATCTAAATTTTTAAATTTTGTTATAATATATTAAATATTTTTAAATTAATAATTAATTATTTCTAAAAATATAATTTAAGATTTATAATAAAATAATAAATTATTTATATATTGGAAAAGTTTTTGTATTACTTCAGATGATAAAATTTATATTTATCATCCTAATACAAATAATATATAGTTATCCCTCTCTATAATCACTCTCTGTACAATCACGTCATATAAATCTCTCATTATAAGCAGACATTTTATAAGAATTAATACTTATTAATATTATATAAAAAAATCCCTTTATAATCACAGTATTTTTATAGTCACACTCTTTCAGAACTAATACTTAGTAACAATATGTAAAAATCCCCTATATAGTAACTTTTTATTATAATCATACTTTTTATTTTTAGTTTTAAGAGATGTGACTATAAAGAGGAATGATTGTATATGATATAATAAGTGATTTAAATTTTTTATAAAATAATAATACAAAAATTTTTTTTACCCATTTATATTATATTATAATATAATAAAATGGTTATTCTTCGAAATAATCATAAGTTAGAATATAATCAAAAAGGTTTAAATAAAAAAAATTCTTTAATTTTAACTTTTAAGTTTATAATTTAAAAAAAAATATCAAAAAATTCTATATGAACTTAAAATTAGTAAAAATTTAAAAGAATAAGTAAATAATTTAAAAGTTAAATATAGGTTTAAAAATTAGGAACATGTAGACTAAGTATTATTTACATATACCAAAATAAAAAGTTTTATTTGAAAATTATAAAATACTTAAAAACATATTGATAGAAGTTTAGCAAAAGGGTATTTGAATATTATCATTTTAGGAAGCTAAAATTATATAAAGAAAATAATTTAGATATAATACATATTACTATATTTATTTATGTAAATTATTTATATTATATTAATATTTGCTGATCAAAAACTGATAATAATTTTTTAATTATCCCTTCGTCTGTAATGCAGGCAAATTTGCCTGCAAACTTCTTTAGATTTAAATTATTATATGAAAAATATATTAAATTAGCAAAATTGTCAAAATATAACACTACGACCTATCATCTGCAATGCATTCAAATTTGGCTGCAGAATTTAGCATATTCAGGTTTTTATGCAAGAAGCAAATCATTTGTATCACAAA